CGTGTTATTTTTTTGTCAGTGTTGCTGCTGGAGCTGCTATAAAACATTTCTCTTGCAGAGGGAGAGAGTTGGCCTTTGTGTCCATGGAAAAGTAAAAAGGAGAAGTGAATGGCAGCCTTTGGTAAGGATGAATCTTACAAATATTGGGGGCTGATCAATTAATCTTTTCTTCTTTTGGCATTTTTTTTTTTACAAAGTTCAAACTGCCATTGGTGCCATTCCAAGTTTTAATTTTCCTGTACTGGTGAGGATACACTTGAATAAATTGCTGGACTGTTGGGAACTCATTGTGCCAGTTTACTACCTCATGCTGCAGTTTGGCTTACGTTTTCCTAGTGCTGATGAAACGGTCACTCCCAAGGTCAAGGCCACTCCTGCCAGCCACCATGAAGCTAATTTCTACTGGTTTGTTGCTTCATGAGAGACTGGTTGTCTTTGTTGACTTCTCTTGTTACTACATGCATTTTCTTTTCCTCCCATGGCCTTTACTGAAATCTCCGTGAATATTCCAAATCTGCTCCTGAATCTCTTGATTAATCCCGGGTTTCTGCTGCTGCTTTCAGATTTTCCTATGTGTACTCCTGTGTCCTTTCTCACACCAATTTCCTTCCTCTCATTTTCCTTTTTCAGTCAGCTTCTGGTAATTCCATGTGTCCATCTGTAAGACTTTCAATATCCTTCCCATCAACTTCAGCGCTTTCCAAGGCCTTTAATCTGTTTTTTAAAGTAAAGAACTGTCAGTGTTTTTGCTCTTGTATTCTCCTCTAAGAGCTTGTTTAGCCGCTGGCAACCTCCTGGTTCGATCACTGTCACCATTTCCTTTTCTCGTCCCTCGTTGCTTCCTTGTAGACAACGCCAGACTCCGCGACTGAAGCGCTCTTCCCTTTTCCCCAGACCTCTTCTCCCTAGCCCCCCAAAACCGAGCCCCCATTGGATTTCATGCCGTATGTAGCGCTCTGTGGATGTGCTCTCGCTGTCTTCGTTCAAAGCTTCTTGTCCTCACCATTAAGGCTGTTTTCCTATCTCCATCTCATGGCCTCCTCTCCATCTGTCCCATAGCCCCCTGCCCCAGCTTGCGTTGCCTCCACTGCTCTGCTACCCCCCATGCATGAAACAGCCGGTGTCACTGCCTGCGAGCAGCTCCTGTCCTTTACTGCTTGTCCCACGGCCAGTTTGGGCTCCCCAGCCTTTACTGTGCTGCCAAATGCCACCCAGGAGCGCTGCCCAGCGTTGCTTTGCACAAGCTATTGAGGGTCCTCTTGGGCTTTGTAAAGGTTCCCGCTCATCCCTGGCAGTTTTTTAGCTATAGGCATAGTCTAGCTGAAGCTGGTCAAGGCCTTTTTCAAATTTCTTGCCGTCAGTCTTGCTTTGTAGTTACGGCGACCCTTAGCTGGAAAAAAAATCAAGAGACATTGGAAGATCATGAAAAGCAAACTTTACTAGGGAATTAAAGCTGTGTAGATGGAAGCATAAATTAAAGAGGAGAAGGGAAAAACAGGGCAGCACCTTGGGTTAAGGCCCGTCCCACAGCACGTGGCTCCCAATGAAGGCAACCTACCTCAGCCAGGCTCTGTTTGACAAGCTGGCCCCCGGCGAGCGTGCGGCGAGGCGGTAATCACGAGCACGTGCGTTGTGGCCGCGTGCGGCGCAAGCACTTGGGTTTTACTGTCCTCTCAGCTCTACGTTTTTAAGTTCTAACCCCAGCAAAAGACTGGCGGCGGCTTCTGCATGTTCGAGTTACAGGGTCTGTTTAGTGTTTTTCACTTGCCACTTAAATTGTTGCAGCTTTCTACTTTTTTTTTCCTCCAAAAGACTCAATTGGTTGCCAGCATCTAGTCTGCCTGTTGCATAACTTATCTATTATGAAAAAAAGGAGAGAAAAATCCTATTCTTAGACCTGGGTGAAATCATTCCAGTGAATAGCGAACTTGCTAAAGAATGAATTTGAGAGACCAAAAACTAGCTGTGAAATTGGACTGAACACTGGACGAACAGGGAGGCACTAGGAACTGAGTCTCTGAAAAGAGTGAATATTTTAGTCGTGCTTTTTAAGAAACTTTACTTTTGAAATAGCTTTTTTGCTTGGAAAAAAAAATTAAAAAAACCCAAATCTTTTTAGTTTGTAGCAAAAAAAAACCCATGAAAACCATGACACAGCAAATTCTGACTGTATTTAAAAAAACAAACAAACAAACAAACAGAAATTGTATTTTTCTTCTATCTCCAAATCTTTATATTGGCAATCCAGTCAAGCACTTTGGTTTCCCAGCAAAATGGAACATGATACGGATGCTCCTGCATCCTCTGTGAAGTGCTTGTGCCTTCATTAACTGCGAAATTGTCCACCTTCTACACTTCTGGGTCCTTGGCCCCACAGGAGTCTGCTGCTGTCTTAGCTAGCTTTATCTTTCCCATTGCAATGTTCATACCCCACTTTGAGCAGAAAATGAGTCTTTTTCTTTTTTCTTTTTTTTTTTTTTTTGGATCCTCTAGCTGTTAAGGTGCATTTCAGCTCTTCACGCTGACTCACTGGTATGGTTTATTTATATGACTCCCCCCATAATTACCATACATGCCTCAGAAAGCAGCTATGCTTACAACACACTTTAACAGACAACTGAATTACGGACTGCAATGGCTGGTCCAAATTCACTTGGCCCCCCCAGAGCCCCAGGCTCTGACTCCAGCTGCCAGACTCACACTTGGTAAAGATTTCACCGCCCTGCTAAGCTTAAGGTCGCCAAAGTCACCAAATGGGCAGGATTTAAGTTCTAGACCCAGATTTGTAACTAACATTTAACCTGGCTAAAAAGTTTCCCATGTAGATTGCTTCCACGTAGCATCTGCAGAACCAGTGATAAGAAAGACATTCATGTATTTCCTTCTCATCAGCTTTGTTATCCGGATTTTGGTATTTACAAGCGTATTGGCTAAGACAAGCTTGTACAGCTAAGGAGAACCATGTGTCACGTAGCAGACTAGGGGAGGGCATGGAGAGCACAGCATGGCATCCACAGGGGAGCCTGCTCTGCACCATCACAGTCCAGTTGTCTTTTGAAGGAGACTCCTGAATCGTCTACGTTTTTGTTTATTTCTGATGGAGCTATTTCTAACTGGTATGTTTGGTGGTTCTTTAAAAGTAGTTCTGCCACGGTGCAGCAGCAGTTTCTGAAATCTGGATAGAGCTCCTGAGACACCCACCAGAGGAAACTCCTGCCTTAAATAGACTTTCACACTCTGGATACTTCTTCACACTTAGGCAATGTGGCAAAGACCTAGATGCATTACCCATAAACACCCACACATTAAGATGCATCCTGTTCAAATCAGTGAGTCACCTTTCAAACCAAAAGATATTTGTTGAGCTGGAATATTTCAACAAAATACCACAACTTGATGGTTAGAGCAATGTCCCTGGTGCTCAGCAGAAGTCCTTTCTCTGAGTTAAGATGAAGGGACAATCCAAAGATGGGTTTCCCATCTCCTACCTCCCACGTTGGCACACTCTTTGAAATATTTCCTTTCTTATTCATCTGTGTAAGGCTGAATGCGCTAGGAACTGAGCCATCTGAGCAAGCAGGAAGGGACCAATCAGCAAAAAAGCTGAAGTTGTCCACCTGCAGGAAGAACTGGCAAGAGCAGGCAGGAGTGGAAGGGTATTTGGAAGACAAGGGGCTCGAAGGATCATTCCCAATTGCAAAGGGGGATAAAGCTGAGTTGGAGGGCTGGAATTAGTACCGCTCCTAATTTTAGGACTGCAGACCTGTTACCTTAAGCCTGGAGGCTGGGGGGAGGCCCTTTTCTAAAGGAAAACGTGGCCAATACTGATTAGTCCTCCAAACCTTCTGCAACCTGTTTCACACTGGAAAAGGCAACTGATCCCAGCCGCTGAGACCATATGTGAAGTCGGAATGAAGAATCCTCCCTATTCTGATCCCAGACCGCATTAGACTCTTTCAGAGGTGAAGCAGGGCGAATGACTACTGCTCCCTGGCTCAGACGGGCTCTTGGCTTGAGTCCAGCTCTGGTGCCTGGGTCCGACTCCAGGCAAAGACCCTTATCTCTGCCTCTCCTCGGCCATCTATTAAATGGGCATGAGGCATACTTCAGGAATGGTATTTGTGTTCAGTATCGGCCACTGCGTTTTAAAAGCTTGAAATTAATGTTACATTCCGTTGGGGTTTGATTTTAATTCCCCTTAAAAAACGTGCCGGGAGCCCTCCCCTGGCCCCAGCATCAGCTCGCTTCGTGGCAAACAGGAACCTGCTACCGGGCTCATCTATCTCTGCCGAGGAAAGGGCAAATGCTTTCTAACCCGGATATCCTCCTCAAACCTTAAAACTTCAGCAAAGGCAGCAGCATCCTGCGCAGGGCCAGAATTAAGGGCAAATCTTATCTAGAGTCACACTCGGCAGCCTCAGGAAGACGAGGCTTGGCTGCAAGCTGCCAAAACTTGAAGTTTTTTTTTTTTTTTTTAAACCCCCGCCCAAATGCGGACGAGAAGAGCTCATTTCCCAGGGGAACTCAGTGCTTCAGGGGCAGCTGCGCGCCCGCCGCCCGGGGATTTCACACCAGCGGCTGCTGCGGGGCCGGGCCGGGCCGGG